ATTATCTTGTAGTTTATCATCCTAACAACTTAACCAACATACAAGCAAGATTAAACACAATTATTAGGCTGTTATACTCACCTTAGAAAGAAGCAACAACTTGGAATTTAATCCAAATACAGCCCACAACAATCCTCAATGACAACACAACCTTAAAGAGGTGTTGTTCTTCACTAGAACTAAGTTTTGATGTTGAAATATTGTGTAAATACTTTGGAATCACTACAAACCCTTGTGGTATATGTTTAGGAGGGTTAGAAGAAGTTTGGAGACGAATTTTAGTTGAAAAATGAGCAAAAATAGGCGTTCAAATCGTTTATAAATTGAAGTAGGTCAACCACCACCTAAGTGGGTCCCATTGGGAGCTGCTTGCGCGGTCTCGCGAAATCACGAATATCTCTCTACTCCAATGTCGTATTGACGAACGGTTTAATGCGTTAGTAACTAGACTCGTAGATCTTCAATTTGGTAGGTAGAACACCCCATGATTCCAAGAATATTTGGATAAATTCTCAGATACATTTGACCTAAATTTTAGCAAATTTATGAATGTAACTTGTGATGACCTTTGCCAACTCTTGTTCCACAACTTGCTTGCCTTCAAAATGTAGAAAATGAATATCATACGACTAAAATAACTCATAGAATAACCTCCTTATCATGTTAATAACCCTAGTCTCACCCCAAAGTACATGTTATAACATTCGAAACTTGTCGACTTTCGACGAAACTTATTTTCTTCAATTGGTTTAGCTTCTAAGATTTCCAACCCTCTTGGTACTCGTTATTCATGATCTTAAATATTTGTAACCTCCAAGGTAACATGATTAACTTACTTTATTTGCTTCCAAATATAATCTCATTTCCGAGCTTACATCAATGACTTACGACGTACTCTCACGTATGAAAACTTGGGGTGTAACATTTCTCTACTTCTGTTTTGTAAACATTAAAAGCATCAAGTGCTTTTGATTTGTTAAACAGAAAATAGAGATACATATATCTTGAATAGTCATCAATAAATGAGATAAAATATCTCTCACCATTCAAGTAAGGGGTAGGAAAAGGTCCCCAGATGTGTGTATGTATTATTTTAAGCAATCGAGAACTCCTTTTGGCACCTTTAGTTAATTTATTGGTCTGCTTACCCTTTATGCAGTCCACACAAGTCCCAAAGTCAGAAAAATCAAGAGCTTTTAGAACTCCATCATTAACCAACCTTTTGACTCTTTTGATAGAGATGTGTCCCAATCTTTTGTGCGAAAGATTTGATGAGTTCTTATTGATAATACATTGCTTTGTGCCAATTTCTTTGTCATGCAAGGTTCAAACATTGCATTCAAATGTGGGGTATAGCTCAAGTTTATATAAATTTTTATTTTAAATTTCCAAAACCAATAACTTTATTATCTTTCAAAAGTTTCACAGAAGGATAATGAAAATTCAAATCATATCCACTAATAGATAGCCTTGAAATAGAATTTAAATTTCTAGAATAGTCTAGAACATAAAAAGTATTTCTAAATCTAAGTGAAAACCATCTTTCAAAATGAGCCTATAAGTCCCCACGCCTTCCACACGTGAACGCATCTTATTGTCAGAATAGATGAATTGTTTACTTCCTATCGGCTTCCTCTGAGTTAAAAAACCCTGCATGATTTTGGCAATATGAATTGTAGCTCCAAAATCAATCCACCATGTATTATCAGAAACTTCACTAAAATTAGATTCATAATATACAAAGGTAAAATTACCTTTCTTCTTAAGCCATTTCTTGTATTTCAGGCAATCCTTCCTCTAGTGTCCCTTCTTCTTACAGAAACGGCAAGCATTTTTGTCAAAAGTGCCTTTCTTCTTCATGGGAACACTTTTGTCTTTCCTTGCATTTCTCTTACCATGAGTCACCATATTAACACTTTCAGGTGTCTCATGCTTCAACCTCTCTTCTTCTTGAACATACATGGTCAAGAGTTCATTGGTTAACCATTTATCCTTATGTGTGTTGTAAGAAATCTTGAACGGACCATATTCTGCAGGAAGTGAGTTGAGAATGAAATGCATAAGAAATGGTTCAGACATATCAACCTCAAGGGACTTGAGTTTAGCAGCGATGTCTCTCATCTCCATAATGTACTACGCACTGTATGACTTCTGTCGAAAGCCATACTTGAGAGCCTCTTCATAAGGGTGCTGTACAATACTTTGTCAGAGCTTACGAATTATTCATCAATTGTCTTCATGTAAGCTTTGACCTTATCGCTATTAGGGATAGAACCTCTAATGCTTTGGCTTATGTGGGCTTTTATGAGCATTAAACTTAAGCGATTAGATCGCTCCCACCGCTCATAATTTGCCTTAACCACTGGTATACTTGATTCCGTGGGAATAGGTGATTCATCCATACGGAGTGCCTGGTCCAAATCCGAGTACCCTAAAGTGAGAAGGACTTTCTCCTTCCATTTAGTATAATTGTCACCAGAAAGCATTGGAATTCGAGCATTCTTATTAATAATATCGGTAGGAAAAGCTGTAAAGACTGCAAAACAAGGATACACATACATAAGCTATAAAGTACAATCCATCAAAAGGTGAATCGAGTAAAATATCGATTCTGAGTAAATTCTAGACCTTCCTTAGGGTAGAGGTAGCAACCCATGCATAGAATTTACTTACTTTATTAGAGTAGTAAACCAAAATACATAAAAAAAATTATCCGTACCTGTGGGCATAAGATAATTTTAACTTAAAGGTTTACTATCTCATTCCAATTAATCTCACCAAAATGGTTACCTCCCTGTAGGATCGGGTTACCATTTTAATAAGATAACTAGACTAAAAAGATGCCATTATAACTTTTAATCACTAAACTTTATGTGATTAAATAACTCAATTTCTTTTATATTAAGTACTCAAGATGCTATGGCCACTCCTAAATACATCACATAAAAGAAAACTCAAATGATATCTCAAAATAATTAACCGTAATTAATTAACTTAAACAAGATGTTGATTAACTTTTGAATGGGCATACTCGATATAGGCTTAACCCCATATTACCTAAGGTTAATTCTTTTAATTGAACTAACTACTTTATATAGTGGCAAAGCAAACAAAATAAATCGTATTGTTTTCTATTCAATCACACAAACATTAGGCTTTATCCCTTTTAAACCTTTGCTATTATTTTAATGGTCAAAGGCATTCAAAATAAATAAAATAAACAATACATGCAAGCATATTAATCTGCCGCCGAAAACTAAAGGACGCCCTTGTAGGTAGTCTCAACTTCAAAATAAAATTTCTAAAACTTATACATATATTAGACATATTCCAGGTAACAGAAACTTAAAACTAGTCTAATGTCTTTTATCCTTTGAAGCAATTATTTCAATCTAGCTTACATGATTACTGCGAGGCTTTAAAGAACAAGATAACACAAAAAAATAAACAAAAAAATCAAAGCTAAGCAGCATCTCTATATTGTAAACAGTGCAATACATCATTTGTCAGATTAGGGGTGAATCCAATTACTTCATATGGATCAAAACATAATAGATCTAGAAGTTTCACCCAAGACTACAGTGTTACCACTTGTCTTCAAGACCAATACTACAAAATTCTTGGTTCAGAAACTTTAACAAGAATTTTACGCCACAAAGAATGTAATTATGTGAAAACTTCAAGTAAATAGACATATTGATAAATTAAATCAAAATGCTTTGACTAACAAATTCAATGAGAATATGAACTTCAATCACAGAATATGTAAGGTAATTTAAACACTAATCTTGTAATTGACAGTGCTTAAAACTTCCAATTAAAATAAAATTCTTTGATTGATTTCAAAAGTTCTAATTAGCGTAACAACAATTAGATACTGAACAACACAACTAAAGGGCATCTCTGATACCACATGCTGAAATTTAATACATACGCAGAGCTGTTGTAGTGGAAATTAAATAAGGAGCGTACGTTCAGTCATAATTGTTCAAGTATCTTAGAGTTGCCTTGGAAGAATGTTGACAGAAAACCTAGGGAGCGTTCTAGCCTGTGTCTATCATAGGATGCTAGACGGATGGAGTCACATGAGTATTTATAGGTAGGATAGAGACTCTTAGCAAATACTTTAGCCCTAGGGACTTCTCCATAAATTATAATTACCTTAGGGACTCCTAATATATGGTAATTTCTTTCCATCAAAGAAACTACCGTATATGCATAACTACAGAATATTATCTGATATATTATTTCCTTTGAGAGACAAGGTAAATAATTTATTACCTTATATATGGGCTAGATTAGAAGTCTCTAGAAGAGATGGTAAATTTCTAATAGGATGCACAATCAAAGCTACGAATTCAGCTGAATTTAGTTATAGTTTTAACCCACACTGTATATATATTAAAAAATCTATTAAATATGTACAAATATTAAATTTCAAATCTAGTAACTCAAATGATATGTCGATTAGTGGCATTTCGAACCCATAACTTTAAATTCTGATCCGCCCCTAGCTACTGTTTTGTACATTAACAATCTAGTTTCTGAGCTATATATGATCACACGGAGTTCAAACATTATTTCCTTTCTCTTCCTTTTTGCTTTCACGTCTTTGCATGACATCTCTAATTTTTATTTTATTTGTAGCTTATTTTGTAGAAATAGTTAACCAATTACTATAATAAGCTTAATTTATAAGCTTATTAATTCTAATTCTAATATAAACAGGTGGCAGCAGTGGCACCTAATGTACCAGCACTCTACGAGCTGCATTTTTCTGTACCAATGGCTGGGGCAGTCCTTTCTGCGCTTAACCCAAGGCTAGATGCTGCCACTTTGGCACTACTACTTCAACAATTAGAGGCCAAAGTAATTTTTGTGTACTCTGACTTCATTGAGATTGTGCTTGAAGCACTTAACGTTCTTCAAGAAAAAGACAAGCCACATTTTCTGGCCTTAATCAATGAAAGTAGCAATGAAAAAGAACTACCAGTATCATTACCACCAACAAAGATTCTGGATTACCATACCCTTCTAGAAATGGGGCAGTCCAATTTCAAGATTGTGTACCCGAAAAATGAATTTGATCCGATTTCGATAAGTTTTACTTCTGGATCAACAGGGAAGCCTAAAGGAGTAGTGTATGGTCACAGAGCTGCATATTTGAATGCAATTGCTGATATTTTCAGATATGAGATGCAAAACATGCCTGTTTTTCTCTGGACAGTGGACATGTTTCGATGTAATGGATGGTGTCTCCCCTGGACAGTAGCTGCTTTGGGTGGCACTAATATTTGCCTTTCAAAAATCAGTGGAAAAGAAATTTTGGATTCCATTTATCTTCATAACGTGACACATTTTTGTGGTGCACCAATGATTCTTACAAAAATTTCAGATGCCATAGCCACAAATCAGCCCTTGTTACCTCACCAGGTGAATGTAACAGTAGCAGGGGTATTGCCACCACCAGAAATTCTGACCAAACTGGAAGAATTAGGATTTAATATTAACCATGCATATGGTATGAGTGAAGCACTTGGTCCAATGATATCAATGTCTAGGAAATATCAAGATGATTTTTCCAACTCGAATGAAGATGTGAACATGAAAATTCGCGAAGGAATTCACAGTATTATGATGGAAGAAGTTGATGTAAAAGATCCAGAGAGTATGAAAAGTGTGCCAGCAGATGGGAAAACTACAGGGGAAATCATGTTTAGAGGCAATGCTATGATGTTAGGGTACTTGAAAGATACTACAAAAACTGAAGAAGCATTTGAGGGAGGGTGGTATAGGACTAAAGATCTTGGAATTAAATACCCAGATGGGTATATAAAACTGAAGGATCGCGCCGTTGACATAATCAAATCTGGGGGAAAAATTATAAGCACTCTTGAAATTGAAGCTGTTTTGATTAGGCATCCTATGGTTTTGGAGGCTGCAGTTGTAGCAACACCTGATGATGTTGTAGGAGAGACCCCTTGTGCTTTTGTGAAGTTGAAAGAAGGGTGTTTTGTTACTGATGAGGAAATCATAAAGTTTTGTGAAGATTGGCTACAGGATTACATGGTTCCAAAGGCAGTAATTTTTGGTGATTTACCACTCAATTCTTCAGGGAAAATACAGAAGTTTATACTCAGGGACAAGGCCAAGACATTGAAATGGGCACTTTCATAGTGAGTGTCACTTACTACACTTGCCTTGTCGACGCCCATTGTGCACTTAACGTACGAGACGCCCAAAAGATTTAGGTGTTTGTTAAAATTTGGCGTGCAACTTGTTTGGAACTTAGTTCGTTGAAACGTTAATTTGACATTAATATTGTGGAACACTTTAAGGTTTATTTTTCATTTTCTTAAATTATTGTCTTGAAAGTGTTTTTTTTTTGTTGCTAATCATTGTTTTGGAAGATGGAAGTCGGATTGGATTCATTTATGAGAAATGCATATTTTTAGTCGTTTTCAAAATAATACCCTGCAAAATATATAATAATTCTCTCTATAAATATGTTGGAAAATCTGTGTTCAAAATCAGAAAATCAGAGAAGCAAACAAGCGCTAGTTCAATAAACAAATCGTAAAATAATTTCGAGCCCACTAAATTCACAATGTGTCCTTAAGGAATTTAATTCCCTCACTGTTGCCCAAGGTTGTGGATTAATTCCTCCCATGATAGAACAAAATAACTATTCTGTGATAGCGACACTACAAGTGACAGAACTTCAGCGAACTCAACAAACGGATCAAATCACACTTGACACTTATATTTATTTGGAAAATAATGCAACAATATAGAAAAGAGGGGAGAAGTTTTCAGTTTTTTCCATATCTGAAAAATGAGGCCAAGCCTCTAAATTTATAGACAAAGGAAGGGTGATATGAAGAGGTGCAATACAAAAGGTGGCTCTTCCATTTTTCATTCACACCCTTTAAAAAAAACGCAATAATATATAGAGAGGCTAGCAAATACATATTTTATATATGCGGAAATAATTTTGCACTTACCTTTTCCCATTTGGGTTTCGAGATATACATGCTGATCCAGTTGGATGCAATCTGATCCACTAAACTCTTGATGCTTCTTATGCTATCTTTACTTCTTGAATGTGATCTGATACATCTTTTGATATTCGAGTAATTTATGCAAAATACCCATTGAACTTAAATTATTTATTATTTTTTATCCATTTGGAAACTAGTAATATATACCTACTTAATTAAAACTAATTACCCAACCTATATATCCATCCCACTTTTCTTACCCATTTGGCTTAACATAACTTGATTTGGCTTTGATTGGTTTGGATTGAATAAGCTTGGCTTGACTTGATTTGGGTTGGTGTCACGACCCAAAAACTGACTCGGTCGTGATGGCGCCTATCGTGATACTAGGCCAGCCAACTATTACTCATTTACTCCATATTTCATTTAAGACTTAAGTAAAACAATATTTTTGACAGAAATCTGATAAAATATATAAAGTGAAAATCAAAACAAGCGGAAAATACAAGCCCGACCTCGGGTGTCACTAGTCATGAGCAACATACTACAACGGTTCGAAATAAAACAAGACTAATACAGTCTGAGAGTAGCCAACAAATACACTTAAAAGGAAGATAAGGAAGGAGAAGGCGGGCCAGCGATCGCCAAGCAGCTACCTCGCAATCTCCAAGGAAAAGTCTCCAATTGATAAGATCAGCAACCGCTACTGTGCCTCGAGATATCTGGATCTGCACACAAGGTGCAGGGGGTAATGTGAGTACACCAACTCAGTAAGCAACAAGTCCAAACTATAGACTGAAAGGTAGTGACGAACCAAACCTCAACATATATGCAAATAACTGTGTGGAAAAGTAGACATGCTTACAGTTCAAGTAAAAGCTCAGCAGTAAGTAAATGCAATACGACTAGTACGAAGTATAACGCTCAGGAAATCTCTAAGTGCCAATGCACAAATAGCATGATCAGTGTTCCGTATGTCTCCACTCACAAGTGCTCAACTAGTCGGTACTATATATGGCCATCTGGCCCAGGGAATCCATCCCAAAATATATATACATCACTGACCGTAGTCATCTAGTACAGAGGAAGGCCGTTCCAGCCCTATGGAGAAGATCCATCTCTAGGTATCAATACTTCGGACAAGATCCATATCCAGGGAAGATCCATCCCTCAATATCATCAATTGCTCTTACTGGGGTGTAAAGACTCCGGAGAGGCTTCTCTTAGCCCAAGCGATATAACAAGCCAACGAAGGCATTTTCAACATCTCGCTGCGGCGTGCAGCCCGATCCCATAATGTCACTCAATATTAGACTCTCGGCCTCACTCAGTCATCACTCTCCAGTCCCACACACACGGGCTTAAAAATGTCATGATACTAGTCCGGACAATGATATGATGTACCAAATAACAATAATCGAGTCTGAGGCATGATATAATATGCATAAACAGGACTGAGTACAAAATATCAATGAAGCTAATGATATGATAGCAAGATACAACCACTCGGGTCTCTACAATATTGGCGTGAAGCCTTAACATGATAATTGGCATGATTTTTAGCTTATTAACTTAATCACATAAGTACAATACAAATATCAGCAAGAAAGAGTCACTAAACGACACTCTGGAATGATCCAGGCTGCATTTCTCACGGTGCACGCTCACACGCCCATCACTTGGCATTTGCATCACCTCAATAGTAATCATAGAACACGTAGTTCGGGGTTTCGAACCCTCAGAATTAAGTTTGGAAGCGTTACTTACCTCAAGCCAAGCCAAACTCTAGCCCACGACGCCCTTGCCTCTCAATTCGGCCTCTAAATGCCCCGAATCTAACCAAAATCAGAACCGTAACATCAATATATTCTAAGGGAACAAATCCCATGCAAAAATAATCAAATTACATCACAAATCCCGAAATTAGTCAAACCCGACCCCCAGGACCACGACTCGGAATCCGATAAAAATTACAATACTAGAAAGCTATTCACTCACGAGTCTACCCATATCAAATTCATCAAAATCCGACGTCAAATGGCCCTTCAAATCCTCAAAAATCCATTCTCAAATTTTCTTCCATTTCCCCCAATATTTACCCCAAATTCTCAAATTAAATGATAAGGATCAAGACTAGATTATGGAATTTAACTCAAAACATGTGAAGAACACTTACCTCAATTACTCCCTTGAAAATCCTCTCCAAATTCACCTCTTCCCGAGCTCTCAAATGAGTTTTTGAAAATATGGACTAAACCCTTATTTTTGAACATAAAGTTTTTGCCCAGACGCTTCATTCTTCGCGAACGCGGCCACTACCTCGCGTTCGCAAAGCACGAAAATCACTGCCTAATAATTCCTCTTACGCGAACGCGACACTCTTCACACGAACACGAAGCTTCAGCTGACAAGGCCTTTGCGAACGCGACCGCTTCCCACGCGAACGCGATGCACAAATTCACGGGGGTCCCCAATTGCCTTTTGTCTTCACGAAAGCGGGACACACTTTGCGAATGCGAAGAGTAACTCACCTGCTCCTCTCAACATCCCTTCGCGAACACGAGGGTCCTCTCACGAACGCGAAGAATTGGTCTGTTAACCATTCGAAACTCACCCGAGGCCCTCGAGATCTCAACCAAACATGCCAACACATCCCATAACATCATTAAAACTTGTTCCAGCCTTTGGAACACTCAAAACAACATCAAATCACCCTCGGATTCAAGCCTAAGGATTCCAAAAGTTTCCAAATTTTGAATTTGATAAAAAAGTCTATCAAACCTCGTCCAAATGATTTGAAATTTTGCACACACGTCCCAAATGACAGAACAGACCTACTCCAACTTTCAGAATTCCATTCCGACCCTGATATCAAAATTTCCACTACCAACCGTAAAGCGGCAAAATTCTAATTTCTCCAATTCAAGCCTAAATCTACCACAAATCTCCAAATTACATTCTGAACACACTCCTAAGTCCCAAATCAACTCACGAAGCTATCCGAATCATAAAAACCAAATTCCGCGATCGTTTACTCACAACTCAACTTCCAGTTGACTTTTTCAACTAAATGGCCAACTTAAGAGACTAAGTGTCTCATTGCTCTTTAATACCACTCCGAACCCGAACCAACAAATCCGATACCACATAATACAGTCGAACAAGACATAAAGAAGCATAAGTGGGGGAAACAGAGTGGTATCTCATGAAATGACTGGCCGAGTCTTTACATCCTCCCCCTCTAAAACAAACGTTCGTCCTCGAACGAGTCTAGAAACATACCTGAAGCCTCAAATAGGTAAGGATATCTGCTCCGCATCTCCCGCTCGGTTTCCCGGGTAGCCTCCTCCACGGGCCGACCTCTCCACTGCACTTTCACTGAAGCTATATCCTTTGATCTCAATTTTCGAACTTGACACTCCAAAATAGCCACTGGATCCACATAATAAGTCAAATCACCGCCCAACTGAACCATGCTGAAATCCAAAATATGGGACGAATCACCAATATACTTCCGGAGCATAGAAACATGAAATATAGGATGCACACTCGACAAGCTGGGTGGCAAAGCAAGCTCATAAACCACCTCTTCAATCCTCCAAAGCACCTCAAAAGGCCCAATGAACCGAGGACTCAATTTGCCCTTCTTTCCAAATCTCATAACACCCTTCATGGGTGAAACCTTCAAGAGAACCTTCTCCCCAACCATGTAGGATACATCACGAACCTTCCTATCAGCATAACTCTTCTATCTCGATTTGGCTGTATGAAGCCACTCCTGAATTACCTTCACCTTGTCCAAAGCATCCTGTACTAAGTCTGTACCCAAAAGCCTAGCCTCATCCGACTCAAACCATCCAACTGGAGATCTACATTGTCTCCCATATAAAGCCTCATATAGAGCCATCTAAATACTCAACTGATAGCTGTTGTTATAAGCAAACTCTGCAAGCGGTAGAAACTGATCCCATGACCCTCCAAAATCAATGACACAAGTGCGCAACATGTCCTCCAATATCTGAATAGTGCGCTCAGACTGCCCGTCTGTTTGAGGATGAAAAGGTGTGCTGAACTCAACCTGAGTACCCAACTCTCGCTGCACGACTCTCCAAAACTGTGAAGTAATTTGAGTACCTCTATCTGAAATGATGGAAACTGGAACATCGTGCAAGCGAA